GCAGCAGCAGCAGCAGCAACAGCAGCAGCAGCAGCAGCAGCAACAGCAGCAGCAGCAGCAGCAGCAGCATCAGCAACAGCAGCAGCAACAACAGCAGCAAAAGCGGGTGTTGCAGAAGCAGACTGGCAGCAGGTGAAGCAGTAGCAGCAGCTGGTGTGCATGTTGCGTATATTTGTATATCTATGATTATATATATTATATATAAATATAAGTATAAATATATAAATATAAATATATAAATATAAATATATATTATTTATATATTTATATATTTATATTTATATTTATACACAGAAAGGAGAGAGAGACCTGCATCACTTGCAGCAAAATCTCAGGCTCATCCACACGGTCGTCCTGAACGCAGCAGCAGCAGCAGCAGCAGCAGCAGCAGCAGCAGCAGCAGCCGCAGAAGAGGTAGTTGTTGCTGCAGCAAGGGATGGTAGGAGGAGAGAGACAAAATAGAATAAAGAGAGACAGAAAAGGAGACAAAAAAAGAGAAAGAAAAACAAAAAAAAAGAAAAAAAGAGACAGAAAGGAAGCAGACAAAGAGAGACAGAAAGAGAGACAAAAAGAGAAACAGAAAGAAACAAAGAGAGACAGAAAAGGAGACAGAAAAGGAGACAAAAAAAGAGAAAAAGAAAGACAAAAAAAGATACAAAAGAAGAGAAAAAAAAGAGGAGACAAAAGAGGAGACAAAAAAAGAAATAAATAAAAAGAGACAAAAGAAGAGAAAAAAAGAAGAAACAAAAGAAAAAAAAAATAAATAAAAAAAAAATAAATAAATAAATAAATTTACTGCTGCTGTCTCCTGTGTCTGTCTGCCCTGAATGAGCAGCAAATGCTCCGCTCTTGCTGCTGGGTCTTTTAGTAGTTTCACTGCAGCAGCAACTTGGTGCTGATGTCGAGCACATATCTCCTTCTCCTCCTGCATGCAACAAACAATATCATCTGCTGCTGCTGCTGCTGCTGCTGCTGCTGCTGCTGGTTCTGTTGTTAAGGGCGTTGTTGCTGCTGTTTT